GTAAGGGCCTTCATTCCTCTTGGCCAAGTCATCGCTTAGCCACTCCTTCTTCCATCCGCACCCCGGCTAGCAAACAACGCACATCGCGGAAGTAGGTGGGCTTGTATGGGCAAACACGTAGCCCAGTCATCAGAGCCTGGTGCGCGAAATAACGGTGCTGAGCGGTTCATTTTCTCTTCCTGTGCAGTAAACAAGGCGTCGAACACGTTCATTGTTCACACAGTCGCCCCACCAGATACGAGCCAATCTGCTAAGGCACCGGTGGTCGAACGTTGCAGGATTACCAGCCACTTTACGACCTCTTGACCCTTGATAAGGAGGAACTCGAGGTGGTTGGTCAATTCATTTACCTTGGCAGCTGCATCGGTAACCAATGGCGCATAGCAAACGTAATCAATTCAAGTATTAAAAAGTGAAAACTACCTTACTGAATCTGCAATATCTTTGACGACAGAAACGTTTCCCTCCGTTTGAAAGGCCGTGTTTACAAACCCACCGCGACGGCTATCCTACACTAAGGCAGTGAGGCTAGGCCCTTCGCTCTAAAGACCTAAGGCGTCTTCAAGTCTGATAATTGCTGTCTGCGGAGTATTGCTGACGTCGGGTGGCACCAGCGTGTGCGCAACGATGATGTGCGTAGGCGAGTGCTAGGCAGCTATAATCAAGCTAGTTGCTTAGACCAACAGATAGCACGGAATACGTTGCGTTGGCTTGGGCACGTGCTAAGTATGCTCGGTCACCGCTTACCAAGGAGGATCCGGTTTTGTTTACCAGTCTACACATCCTCCGGGTTAGGGGTTTGAAATGGGATGGCGTCCATTGCTGTAAAACTAAACCACTGCCACCTCCCCGATGACTTGCGGACAATTTTATGAGCCGAAGACTTTGCATGAGGACCTTAGCCGTTCTCCTGTCTAGGTTTGGGCGCACTGGCAGTATCCCAGCCCACATACAACCATGACATTTTCTTCCAACATAAACTTCATCCTGCATCGGCAGTCGTGCAGGTTATCAAGGGTCGCCTTATCTGCGGCACAGAGCAGGGCGGATAAGCGAAAATTTGATACTGCTGGCGCCTCCCTTCTTTCATTTTTACCTGTTCCTCATACTCCCATCCCGAATCCTATTACTAACCATCCTTCCACAATTCCCAGCTTAATTGACAGCAACGGAAGTGTAAATGGAGTAGAACCACTTGCAGTCACCTTCTCGAGACATGCACCGGAGGCCTATAGACAAAAGCCCCTTATAAGGCCATGCTGTTCCGTTTCCATGGCGAGGTCCAACATTCGCACTCTAAGACAAATAGGTCAACAGGCTGCATTCGCACGTACCTTGGACACACTGGGTATTGATGTGTGTTATTTGTCCGAAACTAGGATCAATGACCCTGATGGGGTCGTTGAATTAACTGCACCCGACTTATCATCTCGTTATTGGCTGAACGCATCCGAAGACACTGATGCAGCACTCACGGGTCAAACTGGTGTAGGTATCATTCTAAGCTCCAAGGCTGAGCCATCGTTGATTGATTGGATTCCGGTGAACAGTCGTTTATGTGCAGCCCGTTTGACCACATCAGCTAAGGTTGACTCACGAAGTATTACAAAACGCTGTTTGTTCGTGATTTCCGCTTATGCTCCCACCGACAGTTCTAATGCTGTCAAGGACACATTTTATCACCAACTGAACGCGCTACTACGCATTGCTACTAGTGCAGATATCACAGTACTTGCAGGGGGTATGAACACACAAGTAGAGCGTCCGAGCTCCTCAGAAGCTCAGCTAGGTGGTAAATGTGGGCTTAACTCCGAAAGGACTGACAACGATGAGCGTCTGCTGCAACTGTGTGCAGAGCACCAGTTGTTTCATAGTAGCACTGCTTTTAGACACAGTGGGCGCCGAAGTGCCACTTGACGTCCTCCTGTGAATGGACACCGATGGACCCAAAATGACCACAATGCCATAAGTTACAGGTGGCGCGGTTTCATCCTGGACTGCCAACAATCAATCAATAATAGCAGTACATCAGCCACTTGAACTGATGCTTCACTGCTATACAACCATGATGACTTATAGAATAAAGAATAATAAGAGGGAGAGAAGGGGGACTCACCTGAAAACCCTAGTGCCCTAAGAAAACATTCAGGGTCTAAGCGCCTACACCTTGTGTTAACAACATATCGTCACAAACAGCTGGCTATCGTGCGAAGATAAGGCGGCATCGGCGAGACAGCTTCCTTACGGCTTTCACTGCCACGCGTCATAATCAGCCATTACCCAGCAGATAATTCAGTACCAAACACACTTTAAACAGACAATCCGATTAGGAGACGGCAGCAGACGCGCCACTGGTGTCGGTTGTGAGCCATGTCCTGTGAAGTCTCGAGCCAAGCACAAGGCGAGTCACGTGGACTCCAGCTCGCAAGACGAGACGGACCGACAGCACCCAGTTTGGTCGTTAGTGACTTCGTCCCCGCTGCCAAGTCAACTTCTGTCCACCTCGAGACTTGCGCCACCCTACACCTGGATTGACCACGATATAAGATCCCTGATGAACAAACGAAGAAAACTGTGGAATCAATTCAAGTCTACAAAAGCTGCATCTGACTACCTGAAATACAAAGCAGTCAGAAATCAGTGTAGGGAAACGCCAGAAACGGGGTCAATACGAACATATCCTGATTGTTCAATCCCGCAGGTGCCCTAAGAAACTCTTCTCGTATCTAAGATGAAATACAAAGTTAGGCAGTGGCATTAGTGCCCTAGCTCCTCACGACGTAGACGCTGTTCTCTATGGCGATGATGAAAAAGCTTACCTAGTAGCTACCCAGTACTCATCGGTCTACTCAGTAGAATCCTCGCTAACCAGTGATGATCTGACAGCGCACTGTCCGCTGCTGGAGCAAGTCGAAATCACTCCTGAGATAGTATTGAAACTGCTACTCCAATTGAACCCGAATTCTGCTCCAGGTCCCGACGAACTGTATCCACTATTTCTCAAGATGGCAGCTGAATACATAGCTGAGCCAATGTGTTAAGTGTTCCTTCGCTCACTCGCTCGCAGATGCCCGCCTACCATCTGACTGGAAAGTAGGCATAGTAGTGCGGAAATATAAGAGGTAATCGGTACGATCCTGCGAACTTACGGCTGATAGGCCTGACGTCTCGTTTGCAAGATCATTAAAATAATTCTGAAGCGTGTCCTGCAAGTTCACTGTGAAAGCACTCGGGTTATCTCTCCCGCTCAGCATGGATCCCGCAGAGCACGATCTTGCATAACTAATTTGCTTGTTGCTAGAGAAGCATGGGCCAGCGCAGTGGATGAGAGGCGACACCTAGATGTTGTCTACATCGGCTTCAGCAAGGTATTCGATAAACTCCTACCCAAACGACTGCTGCTTAAACTCAAGGGGATGGGAGTCAGTGGAAATGTCCTATCTTGGATAGAAGACTTTCTCCTAGCTCAGACCATTTGAGTGAAAGTGAATAAGACTCTTTCTGTCCCTGTGCCTATGACTAGCGGCGTTCCCCAAGGCTCCGTTCTCGGGTCTGAACTTTCAAACTCTACATTAACGACTCCGTGCGACACTTCAAGCTGACTGTCTAGTCTATGCAGATGACCTTAAACTATGGTCAGAAGTATCTAACCTTGATGATGTCGACAGGTTACAAGCATCACTTGACCTGCTGCGTGATTGGTCCGTCAAGTGGCAACTCCCTGTTAACCGTGACAAATGTGCCGTTCTCCCCATAGGGGACTTGGTTCCGTTCGGTGTATATCCCATCGTGGGCTATCTTCTCAAGACGGTCACCCAGGTTTCACATGACCTTAGGGGACACACTAGAAGGTTGCGGCTGTCAACAGGATGCTGGGTGCCCTACGAAGATCGTTCTCGTGAATCTCGTCGGAGATCTCTAGAACCTAGTTCATTTCACATGTTCGCCCAATCCTGGAGTATGGCCTTCCAGCTGTCTATCCCCTCTCGAAACATGAATGCGCCTTGTTAGGAAAGGTTTAGAGGCGTGGCTCGAAATCCGTCCCGGAGCTTCAAGACCTCAGCTACTCTCTTCGACTTCAGGAGCTTGACCTATTCCCCTTGGAGTATCGCCGCCGTTGAGGTGATCTCATTTACACCAGACGGATTCTAAAGGGAAGAACTTCGGACAAACCTACAGACTCTTTCGACTCAATGTGGATAACTCGACACGCGGTCACAAGTGGAAGCTTTACAAAGGAAGAATACTTTTCGTCCGGTCTGATGCTTCCCTATCCACCAGGGTGGTGAACGACTGGAACAGCTTACCAGAGAACGTAGTTGATGCACAGACTGAGGAACGTTTAAAGCGTCTGCTAGATTGTCACCTGATGAGTACTGCGGGTTCTTGCTGCTCCTATCGTAAAAGCGACGATCCCCAGAAGCGCATCGACTCGCAAACACAAGCATTAACATCGAAAGGAACTGGTAGTAACGTAGCTGACTAGGGTTTCCTCACCTGCTCTTTACCCATTAATGAACCAATGACACTTAAGCCTATCGCTAGCATGGTTTTTTAACTGTATTTTGTACGGCCGAAATCAGACTTGCGACTAATATAAACAATTATCCTGCATTGGACTGTTTTTTGTGCCTATTTTATGATGGGGATGACACTTTGTAATCTTATTCTCTTAATACAATGATCCTGATTCTGTCGACAGAACCTGTATTGACAGTGATGTGGTAGAGGTTATGTTCTCAAGCATTACACCATTTCCCCGAAAATCTTTAATGATAACAGTGGAGACTGCTTTTTGTTTTAATAATTAGGAGCATTATGCAATCGGATAATGGTGATCACTGTAATTATTTGCGAAGTAGTTGGACCCATAAGTGGATGGTGTACGAGACGGGAAAAGTGCTTAGGAGCAACAACAGAAGTATGAAGAACAGTAAATAGTAAGATTTCGCGTCCTTTAGTGAATGGGGAGAGTCCGATAAAGCAAGTTAACAACCTACCAAATAGGTGGAGAAGCAACCTCTCCTATTCTCATTAGCTCCCCTTCTAGTCTCCTCCCTTGACTCATCCTCTTCTTGAGAATCACCATTCTGACAATTGAGGCAGTTGCCCATAATTAGCCACAAAAGCGAAGCATCTATGAGGGCGCCCACGGGCGGAGCCTCGGAGTCCAACGACCTTGGGTGATCAGCTGTTGTAACCGCCGCAGTCAACGCCAATGTGACCTTGACGCGGTAACAGTTTGTGTGTTAAACTGCTAAATTTTTTAGCTATGATTTAGCATGAACAGTGCTTGCATGAACACCTGTAACATAATTGGTGTGTTGTCACAATTGATTACGTCTAACTCATCGTTACATCACAATACAGGTTAGCGTGGTATTCTTCTACCTCGCCAAGTTCCATGGTTTCATAGTATTGTAGAGAGCAAAAGTGAAAGGACCCGTGTCAGCTTCCCCACCTCCCATTTACCGGCTGGATGACGCGTGTCCTCGCTAACCTGTGTTCACCAAGGGGTTAGCACAGCTGCAGCAATAACTATGGAATACAGGCGTTTTTAGCATGTTGTTAAGCAACGGCTGCTTGAATCATTCCTCAGGATGGGCAATGACGACATATTCCGGTTGTTCCATTGCTGCACGGCCCAGGTAGATAATGTGACGTCGGAGCGGACGTGGAGCCACCGCGGTTTAAACTGTGACCTCGTATCGAGTTACCTACGTCGACTTGGAGGATCACTTTCACCTCCGTTCCAAAGTCTCCTTTAAGGATGCGACTTGTGTATCTCAGATCCACATGGCGACGACGATTGTCAAAAGAGAACCAGTTCATTCGCTGAAGTCATAAGCGAATGTGCGCGGTAGGTCGGAGAAAGGCGCTGAATTCAAACGTAATTGTTTATCATGAACTCCTCTTAACAACAAAGTAGATGAGCACTTTTACGCCGTAACCGGTCACAGAACATCCCGTTAAACCACCTAAACCAGAAAATGCGGGACAATAGTCGATTACTCCATTTGAGCTCCTTGTTATTGAAGGACACAGGGACAATATGGTAGCTTGCTAATGTCTTATGAGCGCGCGTTAGACGAATAGTGACACGCAAATAAAGTTGCTATGCAATGTCGCGCAGTGGTCAGGCTACTTGTTCCTTCCTAAGCTAAAATAAGGTGCAAGCGTAACGTCAAAATGCTAAGAAGCCAACCTTCATAGGTACAAGCGTACAAACATTTTAAATGGGTAAGTTTTGTATGTCATCCTTGTGCAATGGACATCACCTTTCGCCTGTTTCGTACCAATGTTAGTATATTTACCTCCGGTGCAAGTACAAAATACGGCGCACTTGGTGTCGAGCCCCGGCCGCACGACTGACAACCCATCACGCTTCAAGGTACTATATTCTAGATATGGATGTCGCCTGTAGGTTTGCAGAAAACCCTCCATGGAAGCAGACTGCAAAAATCGATGAGTTCGTCACACTTTTTAAACTTTTATTGGTTACCGAAGCTGCTTAACACATTTTCCTCATTTGTTTCGCCAGGTTTTGCATAAGTTGGTCGTTGCATGCGGTAAAATAATTATCCACTAACCGAATATAGTAGCGCCGAAACCTGTGGAACCGCTTCAAAGCCATACGATTGACACCATGCTGTATTCAGTACAATACTGTCAACAATCTAAGCACCTGGAATGAATGCGAAAGAACGACTAAATTATGAGTATGGCTTGCCCATATAATCGCAGGCCTGTCTCAGAAAATGTTTCGCCTAAGTGGGGGATATTACCTGTTGTAAAGATCTCAGGCTTATAAGAATCCAGCGTTTACCTGAGAATACACACCGCCTCCAGTTAATGAGTCCAGCCACATATTTAAATATATCGTTGATAACGATGTAACTAAGTAATGCGAAAAGTTGACGAGCTACACCAACCTTTGCGTTGATATCTACTGTCCACTGGAATCCATTTCTTCCGTGCGGCCGGTTTCATCTCCCACCCTAAAATGTTTACGCAAACACAAAATGAAAGCGTTTGAACCGAAAGATCACGCTGCGGTGAACTCCGTTTCTATTTTATAAATGCTGAGTTCTGCCGGATAAACCACCTGTATGCCCAGGCGACACTTGGAAATAGTAGCTACCGAGATGTGTGGCTTATGCTGAAGCAATTTAGTGGCGCCTCTAACCGGGGTGAAATCCAGGTTTAGACCTGGAAGAATTGAACTGAAACTTCTGTTGTTTCAATTCGAACTCCATCGTTCACGCTTCTTACTCACGATTGGGTCGGCCGACAAGCTACTTACCTGTCATAAAATAAGTAAGTAAATATTTATTCTCGACTATGCGATGCACGCCCATGGAGGCATGATCAGCTTTTTGGGCAATTGTAACAGCGACAATAGAAAAGTATTCGCACGTCCACGATTGGAACTGTACATTGGTGGAAAGTTGAAACAATAATTGGGCTGACGTGTGATTCGGACCTCAGCTAATATTAGCTTAAGAATCCTGTATGATCAAATAGAACAAAATTGAACAGCAAGAACGAGAGAGGTGTGACAATATGCTGAGTTGGTGGGTACGTAACGCAATACTCAACGATGAGATCGTAGAGTAAAGAGATGAGAGTATATGCGTGAAATCCTATAAAGTAGATACGACAGTATATGCAGATGTAGAAGTTCCAGTGTAACGAACCTGTCTAGTGTGGTGACGGTAGTTGGCGTGCCAGTGTGAAGTTATGGGCTGTGACCTTATTCGGTGGCGAGTCACCGCCACGTTGCAGTATTTTTAAACGGACATTTGTGGCTTTTTATAGGGAGAACGCTTGCCAGCCGAAACCCCCACTTCCTGAAACACTGCTGCCGATCCATTGAATGGCAGATTGTAACTGGCTATGCTCCTTTTTGAGCGTTTATTTGCTCGGTTATTCGCAGTCAAGTTGCGTCCCATTTTTCCGTTGGCTGATGCGTTAGGCGAGCGCCTAGTTGGCTCCTGGGTCTTGTTCTGTCCTGACTGAATGGCTCGGCCTGATTGTTAGGTTATGAATTGAATATTTTTTGAAAGTGATGTGTTGCTCGTCTGTAGAACTGCGGTAAGTCTCCAAGGGCTATCTAAAGGAATATCTTGAAGGCCTGAATGATGGGATATTGTCCCGAAACTAAGTACGAGCTCCTCCTGGGGTTATTCGTAAAATGGATTGGAGGTGTGGATATCCATGACCAAATGAACTGGCAAAGCGTGGTAAAGTGTTTCGGATGAAGGTATCCAGTAGCGAAAATAGCCGAACCCAACTGTGCTGGCCTTGCCTTGGCAGGAGAATGTGCCTTCCGAAGTCAACTGGAGAGCTCCAGGTAAGAAGTATGTAAAAGATATATTGTTTGGCGAATGGAACCGAATTGTTCAGGCCTCAAGAAAAGGATATCCTTACGAGATAAGGAATCATTTTCCCTGTCGGCTGGTTGTAAAAGCGGCGGAGGTTCATCCACTCGTTGCCTCGTATTGTAGTAATGTCGCAGCTATGGACGATTCCTTGGGTGCTCCACGCCGTATCTGTGACAATCTCGGGAAATAAAGTTAACGAACAAAGACAGCCACAGAGACAAACGGAAGCCATGCATCCAGAACGCAGTCGATCAATTTCATGAATGGCTGAATTATTGTACCCCTATAGCATGTAATTTTTTTCAAATATCTCTTACACACATGTAGCTAAAGGGAAGAAATATACCGAGAAGCGAGCAGATCATGGATCAGTAGAGAATGAAAGATTATTCCAAATTATGAATGCAGATGGGTCAAAGAGAGCTTGAGGGGTCCTAAAGTGAATATGCCCAAACTGCGGGACACCAGAGGCGGACGAAATGTGCAGGTTATAGAAAAATATCGCTCAGAGAAAGCTACTGAGGCGCGTTGACACAGTCCTTAATTGGTAGGAATATAAGAAGTCAGGGAGGACAAACACATGAAAGTTAGCGTCAAATGAATAAGAAATGCAACAGAAAGCACAAAAGTGAAGAAAGGCGTCGGTAAAGAAGGTTCTAAGGTGAAGACGCGGGACAGCTAAAGACATTCTGCAGGTGATGATTGCTTTTAATAAAAGGAAATGCATAACTCCCAGCAACGTACTTGAGGTGAAGGGCAGAGCTTTGCGCCGCAATAAATAGATAGCATGAAGAACAAAGCACTAAGGATGAGGGGCACAAAGTGTTGGGACTACAGAGCCTAAATTGTTTTCGTCTCGGAGGTGTGGAAATGATCAGGAAGCAAGGGAATAGTCAGGCGATGCTAAAAAGGAAGTCCGTGAGAAGTCAGTAGGTATACCCATCAAACAAAACCGAACAAGTCAGCAAGCGGAGGCTAGGCCTCCAAATTAAAGAGGGAATAAATGTAATGAGTGTCATCATAAAAGAAGCAGTACGCAAGGAACGTGGCTGTATGAAAAGACGGGTAGCATGCCGAGCGAAGCTCTCAGGCTGAGGGACAGGGTGCTTTGCGACAGCAGAACCTGGATCGTTCACGTCTCGGATGTATGGAATTGATCAGAAAGCAGAATATTAGTCTGACGAGGCTAGCTAAGAGCCAGGCCTGAAGGGTTATCCGCCCAATTAAAAATGGAATGCAAAAGAGAGCGCGGAAATTAATAACTGTAGTCGGGGAGGAGACTATATTTACAAAAACTTGAAAAGCCTACAAAGATCTCCAGGTGTTGTGAACAGACCTTTGGATCTGTCGTTGGTGCATCGGTAAGTGCTCAGTAGTCGAAAAGCAGGAGATCAGTGAAACGAGACTGGAATGTCGGCTCATAGTGAGAAGGCCGCATAATAATGTCGGAATGCTAACAGAGAGCATCGTCAGAACAGACATGTTAAGGAAGAAAGAGGAGATAATAATAAGGATCAACCATGACAATCAATGCGCGTAAGGTGAGCGTAACAGAGCATTGCGACGGCAAAGTTAAGATCATGTAGATAACAGAAGTCCGAAAGGTATCAGGAAGCAGGAGGCACTTCAGATGAGACCGGGTAAGACAGCAAGATGAGGCTAGGCCGCTAAATTAAGGTGGGAATAACAGTAATGCTTTTTGTAAGAAAAGAAGCAGTAGGTGACGAAAGGGGCTATATGAAAAGGCAGTTAGCATGCCGAGCAAGGATATCAGGTTGCGAATAACAGTACGTTGGGACCGC